ACGCTCATATGACCGTATGCAGTTTCGAGTGCCCTAAATCACCTACCCCGAAAAAAACTCACCACCAACAAACAAACGAACCCAACAACATTTCATTTTGAAGGCTATCCTTTATTGATTTGTTTTAATGTACAGAGGCCTTTAGTTTAGGATTAAGTATTCGGACTGATTGACTTGGACTCCAAGTTCACTCCACCCTGCTATATAAATTATGTGTGTACATACGACAATGTTCTCGGTACCGTAGGACATTGGCTCGACTGTGTAGGGGCCAAATTATACTTTCGTCTTAGTTCCTTGATCTTCTGACATTTTCGACAGGGCGTTAGTGCTCTCCACAGTGCTGTGTCAGTGACAGCGTCCTCATTCAAGTAGAGTTACCGATAGTGTTCTTCCCACCTCTCCGTGGTAGAGTTACCGATAGTGTTCTTCCCACCTCTCCGTGGTAGAGTTACCGATAGTGTTCTTCCCACCTCTCCATGGTAGAGTTACCGATAGTGTTCTTCCCACCTCTCCATGGTAGAGCTACTGGTAACCTCTCCATCTGTTTGTTTCCATCGGTGATGACGTCACCTTTGTCAGAACGGCGTCTGTGGTGTAGCGGTTAGGAGCTTCGCCGTCACATTCAGGAGACCTGAGTTCTATTCCCAAGTGGGGAACATTTTTATCGAGTATAACGATCTTTTTGCTGGAACGTCGTAGCATATCCCTATCGGCCCTGGTTGGCCTTGACAAGCAGGGACGAAGCCCACCTCACCAAAGGTCTAAATTTTGTCGACAGACTCGTGAAAACTCGCATACATTACCCTTCCAGGCAGTGTGTATCGCACAAAGGCATGTTACTGAATGTATCAGAACACGCCAAACCATACTACCGAACCTTCCGTTCCTTTGCTACTCGCCCTCTGTGTAGAGATATGTTCCTCACAGGCCCATCCACAGCGCGTACGGTACATTATGGAGAGCTGGAATGGAATGCAGTCGTGTCAAAGACAGTTGGGAAGAAGAGCCACGTCAGACTCCAGCCCCTGAAACCCCTTTATGAGAACCGACTTCGCATCACAGCTGCCAAACGTGAGACCCTGCAGGTCCTACAGCCGTTCTGTTCCACGAAGGCCCAGTGTGCTTTTTCCAACAACAACAAAATTATAATAGTGCTCAATATTGGTAGACGTCAAACCCTGCCCACACTCAGGAGTCGGATTACTCAGAGTTGTCATCTGACTGATTAAATAAAACAAGCATTTTCACAAAATAACACAAAATGGTGTACAATGTGCTTATTTAAATCATTTTGCTTTATTTATATTCACAAATAAGTAAAGAAATTCCTAATTTATTGACTTCCCTGACGATGGTAACCTTGCCAACACCAGACAAGGTAAAAACCAGAGATGTCAATTCGTTACGAGGTTTTCCATTTTGCTCACACCGAAACATCCGAACCACAAAGTCTGTGAAGATTATCCTCCATCAACACAGAAGGTCATGCCCGAAATCACTGCAAGTAGTGGAGAAATCATGGCAGCATAAACGTGTTACAAGTCTGTGCAAAGTTTGTTTTTCAATTATAATGTACCACAGAAGGGCCAAATCCTGACACCTCTTTTTTTCTATTGTACCCTTTGTAATTGCTAATGAACTCAAAAATCATCTACAGTATTTACTTTTGTTCCCAGAGACCTATCCTGGCGCTTCCAGTTCCCCACGGGCAAGCACGAAGAAGTCTCCTACTGCTACCACGATGAGACAATTTGCTTTGACCTTTTCGATGAGTACACCACTTACAGACGATTGGACGGCGACGCATTCACGTGCCACCTGGAGATAGGTCACGTGAATAACCAGCACCGAGGACTGGTCGTGGAGTTTGTGGCTACAAATGAGAGTGTCGGTCACTCTCAAACTCTGTTCGTCTGTGAGATGGAGGTATACCTAAAGCCACAAGGTTCTCAGTGTCACGCTGTAGAAGTAGCGCCCAAACACGTGGAGGTCACGTGCAACACTAAAAAAGTCTACCCACAAGCTTCGTTTGAGCTCTTACAAGTTGAGATGTCGTCCGACCACTCAGAGAAAATAAACCAGTCACTTATAGACCAATCGCATAAGCAGACCGTCGAAGATGGGGCGATGTATTTCTCCTCGACTTGGAAGACTTCTACCCTTGTAAATCGTGCGGGTAAGTATGTATTCTTTGCCACGATTACACCGGGATTGTCACCTGAAGCTATGGAGAATATTGTAATCAAGCCAGCACACACATCTATCGAAGTCACAGCAGGGGACCGTATTGTCCAACTCCCGTCTCCGAAATGGCCTGTCAACATTTGCCGGAATGGAGAAAGCACCATTGTTGTTACTTGTAAGGCACAGGGGTTCAAATCGCAAATCAGGTTTTTCTGGAAGAAGGGCCACAGCTCTGTGCTTCCAACCCAGTATACGTCTACCAGCATACAGAGCAGCAATTATTCTGAAAGCTACGGTCTTTACGAGTACGAGTCGACGTTTGAATTTAACGTGACCGAGGCAGACAACAACACACTGCTAACGTGTGGGGCAGATGAGACAGACTCGAGATACCTGTTGGAGAAACCTCTTCAGGCTGAGAGTAAACTTTCCCTGAGGTGGCCCCCGCGAGCAGAGCCCAAGTTCATGACTTCTGGCGGCGAGGAGGTCACAGCGTCCTCCATCTCGTCTTACGACGATGCTCCTATCTCTCTCGCCTGTCTGGTCGAGGGCGGGAACCCCCCTGTGTCTCATACAAGCGTCACGTGCGACAAACTGCCTGGGAAAGAGGTCCAAGAAAGGAACGGTCAGGAACAGAGGCGACATTTTTTTGAGGACGCCAACTCTGTCAAGTTCAAATTGACGGGCGTTCCCGGGGAGTCGTACATGTGCACTTGTATTGCGTCCCACCAGACGGAGTGCTATCACAAACGCCGAACGCTTACCATAAGCCTCTTCAACAACAGCAAAGAACAAATCAGAGCAGACAAATCCAACACCACCGTGATTGTAATCTGGGCTGTCATTCCTCTTGTCATCGCCATCGCCATCGTTCTTCTCATTTTCTATGCAGTACGGAAACTAAGAAAAAGGAGGAAAACTTGCAAAAATGCAACCATGTACTGTTCATCATCTGATATAATGTATGAAACCGTAGACGAGCCCATCGACCAAGACATAAAATTGTGAGAAACACATTAGCCTGTGTGATTGATCATAAAAGTTTTCGCTGGCGAGTCTCTCGTCTCACGCGAGCAGTTGGAGGGCGCCACTGGTAGGTCCTACTTCTTTACTTTCCCTCTGCTGTTTCTGTCTGTCTTACTTTCCCCAGCACGAAATGACCATTATTGTGTCGATGTGCTTCTCTTTATTTAAACAAACAAACAAAAAACCAACCAAACACACCAACGAACCTCGTCGCAGCTATACATAGGTTTTTAGAGATCATTGCATGATGATCACATTATATTCAACTTCTCTTTCCAGTAAGGAAAAATGTTCTACAAACTTAATGTTAGACTGTTGAAAGATAAAGAGTGCTGTAAAATCATTCTGAATTGTAATTGAGGCATAGAAAGACGTAAATCCCCATCGCCGACGGGAAATGCTAAAAAAAAAACCCAAATAATTAAAGACGTATCTCAGCCATTTCAGTTGTTTTCAGGCAATGGAAACGTTTTAGAGCAAATATGCATTAATATTGTATTTGAACTACCTAGAAAAGCGTTTGATTCCTGGTCCTATACTATAAGGACAAAAGTGTACTGCATCGTGCAGGACAAACAAAAAGTGAGTTGAAAATTAAAGAACATTAAAGGGCACGGGGAGTCTAGTTGAGAGCCTGGCTGAAGTGAGGAGGGAGAAAGAGATAGGCTGCAATGGTTGTTGTTGTTTTTTAAATCTCCAGAGAAATGTAGGTCGAAGCTCAAAATAAATCCTTCGATCATGCCTCAGCGAGTATGGGCAAATTTATAGGTCAACTGGACCTTCCCAGGTTAACAAAAGTAGAAGCTTGTGCGTATGGTGCCCCTACATCGGAGGGAAAAGTGGAATCAAAATGAAACCGGGATCTCTTTGATGAGACAGTCTATCAGTGGAGTTTTATCAATAAAGGTCTGGCCGCACATCAAGATCCCTCTATTGCAATGCTTCGATTATTGTCTCCAAGCCGAAAAACGATTGATAATGGGCTTTTAGCTCTGAGGAAATTTCAGGAAAGTCACAGATTCACAAGGTGTATATTTCTGCATAATTAGTATGTTGTGTTATTTTGTTGTTTTTTTTGGCATAGCTTAGAATTAAGTATGTTTGAAGCAAAATTGTGCCTTCCGCGTTCGCGCGCGCTCAATAGAATAGGAAAATAGCTGGAATAAAATTTGCTGTTCACGTAACACTAACTTTCGAATTCTTCTGATAGACGCGACTTTTAAAAGCTTAGATTTAAAACTGCCGATAGGTTTTGGCCTGATTACTGGCAGAGAGGTCGCTAAAGCTGAATCGATTTTGTATATTTGCATGTTGTAACAAGAACGCTGGTTCTTACCTATACACACGTTAGGGCACGGAGCTATACTTCTCGCCTCCTACATCATCTTTTAAGAATTTTTACAGTCCACTAAATCAAACCACCGGCCGGTGTCTAACCAGACTAACCACAACCGTCTCACACTAGGTACACGGTATTCTCTGCCGCAATTCCGCTTCTTGCAGGAGTGCGTTCTCGCTCACACTTTGCTGCACACCATAAACATGTCAACATAATACGCACGTTTCCGAATCGTCCAAAAACAACCTACTACACATGTATTTATTTATTTTTGACTTTGTAATGTGTACAAAGTTGAGAAACGGTCTCTGTAGTTCAGTGTGGAGGACAGGGCTTAGTTTTACCACCCTACTACATGCCCTGATGATCACTGAAGTGTCCCGGGACTAGAAGCGGTCAACGGAAGGCGATAACTTGTAAGGGCACTTTATAAGTGTCACAACCCTGAATTACCATAAGACATCACATAGATGTCAAGGTTCAACGTGCCAAAATTATCTATTGTGTGTCAAATCTTTTAGCATAGGTTACGAGATAAAACACAACCACTGTATCATTTAGAAGCGGCCCCCTTGTGCGTTTTCGGCATTCATTTAACTGCTTGTGGCGCTGATGACACAGTAACTCCTACGTTTGGTCTCTCTATGAGCTGACCTGTTTGACAGGGTAACCAAAGTGAGACAAAGAACCAGATAGAAATGAGGTCACACACGAAACGCTTTCCCACATTAGGAAAATAATCAGCAAAATGTTTAATTTGAGGTGGCATCACTGAGATGTGAATGAAACCAAATCCTGAATTCCATATTGTATATTCAGTTCACCACCAAAATAATCGAGAAAACATCTCAATAATTAATCTTTATCCCCACTTTGGGCAAAACGTAATTTTAACTTGTAAACGTGCAATGGGAATAATGGTCTCAACATGTAACTAAAGATGTGAATACACACACTGAAGGCAAAGAAACACTGAAGACAATACTAATACTACAATTGTATTATCAACTTGGTTTTGCATTTAGCTATCTTCATCTGGCCTTTCGCGGCCAGGAGACAGGGACCCATACTCATGTCATGACGTGATTACAGAACTGTAAAAAGTCGAGGGGGGAAAATAGGCAGTCACAGCAGCCATGAAGGTAGACTCTACCAGTTTAATTGTAAGCTTACACACTCAGTGGCCTTGTCTGTATATGAAAGTGGCCTAGAAGGGGAGAGTACTGGATATTTATGTGGCAATGAAACTGTTTCGAGTGTGGTACATACTACTCATCGGTGATTTCTTGAAGATATATATTTAAATTTATAAGGTCAATGTCAATCACGGTCTAAGATTGAATTTGACTGCGACGATGTTCCAAAATTAAGGAATGGAAGCAGTGATAAACCAAAACATTATTTATCGCGGGTCTAGATCTAGAGGAAAACTGTTCTAAGTGACATGTCCGTCGGAATGGAGATTTTTCAATGGCCTTAACTTCCACCAAGGGACGCAACTTATGTTAAATCATCAGAGCCCAAAGAAAAATTCTACATCCTACTTGAGAAAACATTTTGAGGAAAAATATTATATTATGTGGCGGTTTAAATACTTTTCCCACATTAAAAAATCGCTACAGGCGGTAGAAAATGAAGATAACTATCGTAAGTGCGAAAGTTAGAATACTTTTCTTTTCAAATAGCTCTGCCAAAAACAAACAAAACTATTCTAAGTACCTCTTTAGAAGAGTTTTCCTCGTACTTTTGTTCTGTAGAAAAGTATTCTAAATGGCATTTTGTTTGATCAAAAATGGGAGATAGAGCACGATTTACAAAATGAGCCTGTGTTTGTTTTTTCTACACTACATGTGAGTTTCGGATCCTAGAGTTGCGTTCTCTTGAAATGAAAAAGCTTTTTTTTCCTTCCCCTGTTAAATTTGCAAAATGTCACTTAAATTAGTATATGTATTCCTCTAGACCCACGATTAGACGCTTCGCCCCGTGTGTGTGAGAGAGGAGATGGAAATGAGGAATGTGTCTCGACCCTTGGGACAGC